GAGTGCAACCCCAGTGAGGCCACGAGAGCGAGTGGGAGCGGATGTCAGATTGCATCCTTCTTTGTTTACTTTGGGGTGTTTTAGCTAGTTGAACTTCATACATACTTAAGCTTGCACTCCTCGCCCTCTCGCAGTCCTCTGATTACCCTCCTGCCTTCTTAAGCTCTGGCTCTGTGTACGCAGATATACGGGTGGCCGTGTGCTTTTATGCCTATTAGCTTTAAAGCGTATGTTTAATTCAGCAAATGCTGATGCGAGAGAGGCGGGCATTATCTTCGACAGCTCTCTGAGTCGTGAGGGAGTCCTAATAATCCTGGGCTTTAAAGCTGCTTCATCCTCAGCGAAAACGGCTGCTCACCCTGACTCCGCTCACCTCTCAGAAAATCTTGTTTTGCTCACAAGATAGGTGATGCTTTTGTTTGCTCAAAGAGGCTTTCTCTCAGTGACTTCACAGTCACAGAAACACTGCGCTTCAGTTCTTCTGAAAGTGTATTTTCAGTGTTGACATTTGCGTTTCTGTGAGGGCATACAGTACCTAAAACCGGAGCACTGGCACTCCTGCAGCGAACTGCAGTCAGAGCACAAACAGGAGACAAGAGCAATCCGACAGCAGAGCAGGCATGAGGAGGAGGAGAAAGAAAAGGCACAGAAAGGAAGCAGTGGGCGAAGAGTTAGTTGACAAAGACAAAAAATATTTTTGTTTTGTTTTGCTTTGCAGTGCCAAATGATCTGTTCACTAAAATCACTTGCTTTATATTCCAAGGAAAAGTTACACAAGAGGGGAAATATGCATGCTGGCTTTCTTGCTAAGCTAAATAAGATGTGTACGGTCACTATGAAGCTACAGCCAGAAGGCTGCTTGATTAGCTCAGCCGAATAAATGTATTCCCCAAAATATACAAACATTTAAATTTTTCCCTTGAGTGCAAGGTCACGCAGATTTTTTAGGTTTAAATTACAAAGAGCGAGAGACCTGCATTTGAGATTTCACAGATTAAAACATGGTGCTTAACAGATACAACACTCACTCAGACTGTAGTCCTGGCTGTGGCTGTGGACAGGCGAGAGCTGGACGGGAGATAAATACTCTCCGTCTCCGTCGCCGTTCAGCTCGGCCCGCGGCTCGTTCTTTTTACTCAGTTTCCCCGGCAGAGTTTGGTACTTGTTCAGCTCCATGTGGGGATTCTGTACAATATAAAAAGCAAACAGTGTGTTACTCTTTCAGCCAAGTCTGGCATCACATTCCAGATATAATCTTAAAATGTATACAATTCAATAAATTCACTGCAGCTTTGAATCTAAAATGATTTTCAGACACCTCTGACTCTAACAAAGTGGACACCTTAATCTCTGTAGTGTTGCTATGTGGCTCCGATTCTCTTTTTTTACATTCTTCTTTAACTACACTGAAAGTTAGTGGCTTTACCCGATGGCTTTCATAAGATCACAGCGGGGCCGTGAGGTGATTTGTGTTTTTCCTCTGTTGCATAACCGTCTGTCCTTTAGACAGTGAATGTCTGATGATGCTGGAATATAACCGCACATTAAAGTCATCGGGGTCTGAGAGAATAACTGGAGAAAGGCCAGCAGAAAGAAACAGCTGGGAGGCAGCTGTGATGTCAAGTACTAGCGACAGCCACTTCAGGTGGGTCTTGGCCCTTTTGTGTGTGTGTGTGCGCGTTTGTGTGTGTGTTTGTTTGTGTAGACGCAGTATGATTATACGATTATATATTGACTATAATGCACTGTGAACTTGTCATGCTGAGAACAAGAGGTCAGAGGGCACCAGGACAGTTACATCACTGTTTGCTATAAAGCACAACATTACTACACATTCTAGCAGTTTATAAGTGGCCTCACAGAAAAGACGACAACGCTGTGAGCTTGTTTTTGTCTATTATATCCCTCGAACATATCACTAGGTCATCAGTCATTACTTGTTGATGTAAGTGCATCGGGTCTATTTAAGAGATGCTTTGCCTTGTGTGGATCTTTTTATGCAGCCATATAACTACTCACACAGAAACTACTCCATTACTTTTTGCTTTGCTGTTACATCTCTCAGTACTCTGCCTCTTTCTGTATGACGAACACTCTGTGTACTTTCAATGTATGATAATTAGTATGTTCAAGTCTTAATTCATGTGGCTTGATACTAATTAGTATGTCCCCTTGCCCTTGATTGGCTCCTCCACTTGCCTGTCCAGCTGCTGCCTCCTTCCCCTGCACCTGATTGGTTCCACAGTAGAACGTTCTTTACTGCTTATTAAAAGATCATTTCACCCTCCTGCTAGAGAGCTGGGGTCCAATCTCTACTTAACCTTTATTTATTAAAGTTACTTTTTTTAAAGTTAAAACTTAGTATTAAAGTGTTTCCTGTTATTTGTGAAACATGTATAATGAGGATGGATGACTTGCTGGCATAAACAAAATAATGCGAACCTGTTAGAAATCACTGAATAGGATAGAAGAAGGAGCGCATCATTCTAGACGTTTTAGACTATTTGTTTACTTATAATAAATACAAAATAACAGAAAATTTAGGAACTCTTAGAGGAAAGTTGCTCATTACCTGGACAAAAACAGTCACAATCACATTTTATAGCCATATATAGTATCTTTAGATACAGTTTCTTATCATTAGGCGGGGGGGGAAGTTGGTCATGAAGATTAGTTAAGGAAGGAGAGAAGGAAAGTGGTCGTAATATATCCCTGTGGCCGCTGTAATAACAGCTGTCTGAATTCTCTTAATACTGAAGAAAAGGTGCTTCAGTGCTTCATTTATTGCCTCATTTAACAGAGGAAACCCTAATCCACCCTTTCTGAAAGGAAAGGTGATCATCTTGACAATTCAAAGCATCGCACGTCAGACCATTCACAACAATAAACGATCAAAGTAACTGACGTTTGGTGCAGATTATCACATAAATAAATCCTGCTTTCTTATTACATAACATGCAAATATGTGGATATGTTTTAGCCCAAAGCTGGACTATGAACCACTCTGTTAAAATTCTTGCTTTAATCAAGGCAACGACTACAAAGGATCATCTCTTTAGTCGGAAGAGAAAATACGAGTGGACAGCAGGGTGAGATTTCCTGCGGGGAGTCTACACAGGAGAAGATTAGTGATGTAGTAGAGACGAGAGACCACAGAACGTATGAACCTGTAGTTTCGCCAAGTAAGATAGCCAATGTGATATGAGCAGGTGGTGGCGACTACATTAAAGGGTTACCCGCAGTAAGATTCACCGTGTTGTTCAATTTTATACAGCCTGCATAAAACAACAAGGTAAAAACAGACAAGGCAAAGTATCCAATATGTGTTTGAAGCTCTTTTTGTGCCACGCCAACATTTTAATGAGCAGTCGGATTCTCTTTTCCTTATGAAATTACATCTTCCCCTGACTTCATGGTGTTTTCCATACAGGTCATGGAAAAACTGATTAGGAGTCTTTTTTTTGGACTATTTGGCCACAGCCCAAGTCTTGTTTATATTTTGATTTATTTCATCTTCTTTACAAAAAATATATACTAATCCTGCAATCTAAAGATGTATAATGAATACATGGGATTTGTGTAGCTAAATGTGTGACATCATGTTGCAGATCAGTACCTCGGCCCCTACATCTGATTCACTTTCAAGTGGCTGGATCTCTACAGCCTACAGCCAACAGAGAGACGGGAGAGACCAGAGAACACACACACACAAACCCAGAATTAGAAGGTTAGCAATCACACAGTCAGATTAACAGAACGTTAAAGATTAGCTAGAAAGGACTGATTTAAAGTACTTTTTAGTAAGCAGATGTGATAGGCTGGATTAGATAGAGATTAGTATGTTTATATTAAACAAGCGAATCGTGGAGGCAAACACTAACAGACCTTTTGTAAAGATCCACTCTGCAACTCTTCAAGACTGCTGGACATCAACCGGCGTCGATGCCTGCAGAAAAAATATTGTATCACTGACATCTGGTTAAGCAGACGTACACTTTGAATGTGCTTGTACTGTAGCAGGGCTTACCAAGACCCATTAAACAAACTTGGGTCAGCAGCGGACACCAGCGATGTCTCCACAGAGTTCTGGAAACTGCAACAGACACCGCACAGAGTTAACTCAGAGTCTGGCGTTCATTCATCGCGTACAGTACGTGCGCTGCACGTTCATACCTGAAATCCAAATCCCTCTGATACGGCGATGAGGACAACATAAGCGGTGACGATCCTCTTGATGACAGCTATGAAGGAAAAAACATTTTTTCAAAGCATTTGTGGAAGTGAGATTATTAACCCAATAATTCTTTGACTTTTATTTAAAATTTCTTGTGAATCCTACCTCTGATCTGAGGATGTCAGAGTGTGCTTTGTGAGTGATGGCTTTGAGCTTTAAACTGCCGCTCAGCTCCTCTTCACTGCTTCCTGGTAGATAGAAACCAAAACAATTGGCGGCATAGTGACGTTAGAGAGAAAAGACAGGTTTCCAAGCAGAAACTCACAATACAGAAAAAGGAAGCTCACCCTGCGTGAGTGCCATGACCTCCCTCATCTTTCTGTATTGGCTGAGCAGAATGGTAAGCTCCTCTATACGCCGATCCTGTTATCACCAAGGCAGAAATGGTCATTCTCTTTTTATTTAATCTTGTTGTAAATGATATATATTGTAGCAGTGGCAAAAATGATTTCATTACCTTCTCGTCATTTGAAGCCAACAAAGACTCCATCCCCACCTTTAACCTCTGGTATTCCTGGTCTAACAAAGAAGACAAAGAAGTTAAAAAGGATCCTATTGTACCCTTACGCTAGCTAGTTAGATCAGGGCAGCTGATGGGTGCACGAAGCGGTGCTGGTGACAGACATGAGAGCCGTGCAAATAGGACTAATCAAGCAAAACAAATACATGCTGACAGCACAACTGCCCATGCAGCATCACCTGGGACACACGTGGAAACTGAGCATTGTCAACAGCACCATTACCGAGAGAAGAACTAATGAGGCTTGCATCAGTATCAGCCACACAAACACGAGCCGGCACCAGATTTCATTTAACATCCTTTCAAATGCAGAAACTTATCTAAATGGGATTTTTTTTGTTTATTCAAACGACTCAGCTTTGAAATGATATGCATGTCATCGGTGGCTTTAGAGCAGCATTTATAAGGCAACAAGAAAGCAATTCTAATGAACTGCAATATGACAATGCCAGGATACAAAATGTCAGGATACTGCAACGCTCTCTGGTGACTCCTCCTGCAGAAATCAATAAACTAGTTACATAGTTTTATCTACTACTTGTCCCACTCTCTTCACTTTGGGTGAACTCCTGTTAAATAACAATGATTCGATGTTGTATAAGAAGTTTGTACAGGACAGTGGACGCTGCATAGCCTGACACTCTTCTGAGTCTTTTTGATTTGAAAGGATGTACAGGCTCACATCACAGACACACACTGAAGCTTAGCTGTGGTCCACATTCCCGATGAAGAGACTACTTAGCCTCGACATTTAAAGTGTTTGGTTTTAAGTTTCACATTTGAGTCATAAATGACCAAAACAGAAAAATCCAGCTGTCCAGGAGGTTGCTTAGAAATTAGCCCCATTAGCAACATAAATGCCTTACATTTGTTAATCAGATGCTTGATATACACCTCCTCTACAGCAGAGGGCAGCAAAGAGTGGAAAAAACACAAGCCAAGTGGAGAACAGAGAAGAGAGGAACTGTTGATTAGATGTTACAGTAATCAGAGTTGACAGACGTGCACATCGCTGCCTCTCACACATATCTGCACTGACAGATTTGATTGGTCAGACTGTCAGCTGAGTGTACCTCTCTCTGCGTTGTCATTGGCGCTGCCGCCTCTGGCCAGCAGCTGGGTCTGTAGGCACTCGATCTCAGCATCTTTGGAGGCCAGGAGCTGCTGCAGCTCTGAGATTTCTGCCTGTGGAGGAAGTCAGAGTAGATGTCTGTGAACTGGGTCGATCTTCCAGGTCAGTGGATGTCTGTGAGCTGTAAGTGTGAAGCAACTAAGCAAATCGTTTTTCTTAAAGAGGAATCATTTCTAAAAACCAACCAGCCAACTGATGAGCCATCAGAGTAACACATAAAATGAGTTGTGAATTCTGAGATTATTCTATATTATCATCATCATTATTATTATTATTTGGCACTGAGCACCTTCTTTCAAATAAAAACTACACAATGGAAATATAAAACAAGCACTGAAAGCCACATGTAGCCACAAGTTATTTTGGTTTTCTGCTTTAAATCAACCCCACTATTTCACTTTTTTACAATACTTTGTTAAAACAAACTCTACCACAGCTTTCTCCACACGATCTAAGGAACCTGCATCACCACTCAAGCATCTATCCAATGGAAGTATTTCTGGCAAAAAAACACAATTTCTGACACGTACTACGCTCTCCACCCTCAGCTGTTAACTGTAACATGACTGACATTACTGCATTGTAGGGATGGGTATCGAAAACCGGTTCTTGTTGAGAACCGGTTCCCACTGTTTCAATTCCTTGGAATTGTTTGCCATTTTTGCAAACGATTCCCTTATCGATTCCAGTCGCCCCGAATGACGTCACCATGTTGCGGAGCATCATTTACCTGGCAGGAAACACGGCGCCTAAGCGGCTCAAACGCTCAAAAGTTTGGTTATACTTTACGAGAACGGATGACAACAGGGCAACTTGCAATACTTGAAAAGTAGATATTTCATTTAAGGGAGGAAACACTACGAATATGCAAAAGCATTTGCTCACAAAACCCGTGATAACCTTAAATGAATGTCGTGTTTTTAATCCCGCTCGACTCGTGAATCTCAACCCAGCAGCAGCGGTAACGTTTGCACGTCCTCTCCCGTTAATGCGGCAGGTAAATAATCAACTAACAGTGCATATTATGTTAGCGCGATCTGCCTTATTACAAACCTGCCATTACCGTGCATTTAGGTGATCATGATGAGAGAGACAGACAGAGTCTGGCTCAGATGCTGGCAGTTCTCGCTGCAGTCTACCGGTAGCGTCTCCTTTCAGGCCAGGATAGACGAATGTCACCGAGCAGTGTCTAAGTTTGTGGTCAAAGGCTTGAACCCATTTGCCACAGCAGATGATTTTTGGTAAGTGAATGTGTTTAATTGTAGGCAGGGACATTACTGGATATTCTTGTGTAATTGCTACAGAATAATTTATGTTATACTTTGTTATTGCTACAGAAGAATATTTATTTTATTATTTTATATTTACAATTTTTTTTCCTGGGGACCCTGTGACCCCATTGAAGAGCCATAGGCTGGATCTCGTAAGATCTCACTGTTGGGTTTGTAAGGCCATGTTACTCCTAAATTTCTATCTTGTTCAAAGAGAAGATATAAAACAGAGTTCTAAGCTATTCGACCTTAGTGTTCTCCTTTTTAAAAAAAGAATCGAATCGTTAAACAGAATCGAAAATGGAATCGGAATCGTGAAAATCTTATCAACACCCATCCCTACTGCATTGTGCCCAAACAGCTGAAAATGAGGCCAGGACGATGTGCCATAAACTGCACTTGGCTGTGGGAAGACTTCTTAACAAATTTATAGCATAGTACAAAAAGGTTTTGACAGATTGTTTCCTCTGAATAATTGGTTCAGTTTTGCTGAATGACATTCTGATATTTATTTGATCTATCACTAAGCAAATATGTGTGTTTCTGTGCACTGCATTCATACAGTTTACGTAACTTTAGCTTACTAGCATTATCTGATAGCATAGCATGCCACCTTCTCATGCTAATATAGTTATTTTTGGCTCCAAAAACAACATGGCAATGGTCAAACAAACAAAATTTGAGGTCCAGGAAACAATAGGTGGCATCACTTTCATAATGTCCATCTTTTATATACAGATGGTGTAAAAACTACATCGTTTTTGTAGATTTGGGGCAGAGGACATATTTAAAGCCCCACACAACACAGAACACCGCACATATGTGCGTTTGTTTTATGTGCATTTGTCCAGGTGAACTTTTGTTCTCCGGCCATCAGTGATAACTTTCAAGAATAACCATTTCAAGATTATCAATCACGTCCATCTTTTATATACAGTCTACAGCCTAGTGACTAAGAGCTAAGAGCTCAGTCAGACCTCTCATCACTTTAACTGAAGCCAACACAAACGGACAAATTAGGGTACCGATGCTTCCGTGTAGGGAAAATTCAAATACAACAGCAAAAGGGAATGTTAGCATCAAAGGAAGAAACATCTTCTGCAGTATCGTTTTTTAAAAGAAACAATAATACTGATATTTTATACATATGCAAGCGTTAAGCCTCTGTCTTATTTTTCAGTATTGACCCTCTAATATAATAAAAACTGCTATACTTCAGTCTGCCTTCAGTCACATGCAATCCACGTTTTCTTTATCCATTACAACTTTCCTATTCTCAGACATCAGATTAAATGACTAAAGTGCCAAAATAAGAATTAAACAGGAAAACATTTATCTCCAAAAAATCATAAAGTGGACCCTGTTATTTAAGCTATTTGCTTGTGTCTGCTCTGAGGCCTTGACATGTTATGACAACCTAATCTGAGTTAAGACGAAAAGAATAGTAAAAAAAAGGTAATCACACATTATGCTAACAAATACAGTGGAGGCAACAGCTGAAGACAACAGGTGTGTGTCAGACAGTATGTGTGTGTGTGCACAGACTGTATGGTGGCATGCTATAAGTGCAAACTTAACAATGCTTGCAGCTGCTCTGCAATAAAACCCAGAAGCAAAAACCTACAATAGGGTAAGAAGCAGGGGAAGCCAGAGAATAACTCAGAGATGTGCAGGGTTTTGTTACTACCATCAGATCTGTGTTTGTCTCGAAGGCTCCAAATATTACAGAGCATATAAAATAAAATGAAAGGCACCAGCCAGGAAATCTGCTTAAGTGAGAATATGTTGAAGGCATCATTACCGTGTTATATCCTTAGTGCACAATATGAACACAGTAGGGTCGCACAAACACACAGAACTGATAAAATCAAATAAATTCACAAAATCCATGCAAATGCACACTAAAAATCACAACGACGGGAAAGAAAAAGCCACAAGTAAAAGGATGGAATCTACTGGTTTCTGCTTTTAAAAAATACAAACCTTGTCCTTATCAAAACCAGTGTAGGTTTTGATTTATTTATTTATTGTGTAGGTTTCTCTGTCCGGTCCCTTCCTGCTCAAAGGGACAGGACAGAGCTTCACAGCTATCGCAAGACCAACAAAAACAAATGCAACTAAGGAAACTAAGGAAAGAAAAGAAATGAGGAAAAAACACGAGAAGGGGAGGAGCAAGACGAGAAAAGTAGAAAAGAAGAGGCCAAACATAACACTAATCATAGGAAAGAAATCAACACGGGGAGATGACAAGCGGCAAGAGCAGGAGAGGAGGAAGAGGAGGCACCTGTGCGCTGCGCCAGCGCTCCTCCCAATGCTGCTTCTCCAGCTGTGTGTGCTCGACAGTCAGCTTGAGGCTGGACAGCTGGGTCATGAGCGACTGGTAACACACATGGAGAGAGTAAGAGATAGAGAGCTAGAGAGGGAGAGAGGACAGGAAGAGAGTAATGACGGGGAGAGATTTAGGGATGTGAAGAGAAAGGAGGAGCGGAAAAAAGTGAAGAGAGCAAGCCGCAGAGAGGGGTTAGTAGAGAAGAGGAGAGGAGGCGGATTGTGAAGGAGGGAGAGAGGAGGAAGGAAGCACTGTAAGCACAGAGAAACCAATGGCAGTTTGACCTCCTTCAGACAATATCCAACAATATGTTAGAGAGAGACTCTGTCATAACAAAGGAAATGAAGCTGCACGTCTCTGCTGCTGAGAAACACAGATGAGTGAAGCTCTGATTATTTCATCCTGATGAATGAAGGTTAAAGAAATTCACCTGGTGACGGTCTGATCAAATTATCGAACGTTTACGTATAACATCACAGTAACACCAGCTGTTAATTTTATCTTCTGTTACAGTATCCAGCATCCATTCTTGTCTACATCTGCTCTATTTCCTTTTTCATATGTGCAATTATCAGATTAGGAAGTCCGTCCTTTACACAGGTTTGCTGCAGTGACTTCACAGGCCAGTTTCCACATTTTGAAAAGTCTTCTTCCGGTGAGTTTGATGAGAAGTATACACCACACTCACATCTATGATATGAAGTTAGTCAGATTAGTTTAGAGCAATGTTTGGGTTCGTTTAATGTAAGTCTGGAAGAAAAGGGGAACAAGCCGCCTGGCTTTGTCCAGAGGAAACCCACCCTAATGAAAACTTCAGAGCTCATTAAGTCCCATTTTTTTATTCATTTTTTATTTATTCTATTGTATTCTACACAAAATAACTCTCGAAAAAAAAAAGCAAGAGCTGCATTTTATTAAAAATAGTGGAAAAACACAACAAATCTCAAAACTATATATGCGCTCCTTACAATTTCACATCAATAATGCAATTTAACTTAAATTTAAGAAACGCCAAGAAAATACCAGATGGAAAATCTCAGAGACTAATGAGCTCAATTAGTGATGTTGTTGGATATTTAAAAAAAACATCTTAAAGAGGCCGAGCTGTTCAGAAGAAAAACTCGGAAGGGACTAACTGCTCCGTGAAAAACTATGTGGGCAAAGAGTTCAACAATTTAAGGGTAAAAGCTTCATAAAATAACAAAAGATTAGAGAAGTTCAAAGTATCGGGGCATTGCATCATAAGATTTAAAGATCCAGAGATTCTGGAGACACCTCTAGACCAAGTACCAAGGCTAAAAACCAATGAAACGCTGCAATTTTGGGGCCCTACGACAAGTGAAATGGACATCTGTGAAGACACCACTAATACTAAATGATGTTTACAGATTTTGGAGTAACATTGAAAGAACCTCTTTCACACAGAAGACAATGCCAAACCACAATTTACATGTTATCCAGCAGTAGTGAAACACATTTTTAAGTCTTCATATTCAAAAATATAATAAGATTTCTCAGTTTCAACATTTGATATGCTTTTGTATATGTTACACAGCATCCCAGCTTCTACAAACAGATTTTAAGTGCATGTAAAATGCATTTTACACTGCTCTGTGTGCTTTAGCGAGTACCTTGGTGGCTCTTAATTTCCTCTCATACTGGCTCTTCTCTCCCTCCAACTCATCCACTTTGCTCTTCAGCTGCTTAACTTCTTGTTGCAAATCCTGCAGAAAAGCCAAACCATAGCATTCTTCAGTTAGCCGGACCACTTTACATACATGTGCACAATTACGAAACTTTTCTGATGTTTCAAGCAATTCTCAAAAAAAGTTATACATTTCATCTACATGTCACAATCGGCACGAGGTTCATCTACATGAGTGGGCACGCATGCCAGCATATAAATGGGAGGGTATTCAAACACCAGGTTCACATTCAGTGCAGTTATAAAGGTCCCCGGGGCCAGACAGTGGTTAATAAAGGAAACAAGATCCTCCTGAAACAGACACCACAACGTGCAGTTAACAACCAGGAAACCCAGAACACTACTGAAAGCCTTCCGGGTCGCACATCTGCCAGCTGCGCACTGCCACCATCTGGGGGAAACTTTGGACAGCAGGGTTATAGGGACCGTAACATGACCCATCCACCAGGTCAGTGTATTAGGAAGCTGACAGATGTAAACTTTGTTAGTGGAGGAATCACTGTCATGCAAGGAAACCACATCGAATCTAATACAAAACACAATTCTGGTCCTAAAGGCAAGCTTGAAAGGATTTATAGAGACAACATCCTGATCGGTGCTGAAATACATTCCAAATGTTTCAAATACTTGAGGAGTTCACTCTACGTCATACTGCTGGAAGACTTTTTAGGTAAATAACTCCTCAAATGTATGGAAGCATTTAGAAAACCCAATCGAAAGCCTCAATCACTGCAAGAACCAGAGCAGAGTGTGACCCCAACATCCTGCAGTACACATACAGACACTACAAGAGAGGTTGTTAGCTTGATTCTGTGGAATATTCCAAATACCGGGTGGTGTGTGGACTGGTTAAAAGGGAAGAAGAGAAGAGAAGAAATGATGGGGAAGGAGGGTAAGATGAGTTCATCCATCAAGTCTCCCTACGTGAACAGTCTTTCCTCCATTGTGCTGCCGGGCATCAGAGCCAGACAGGCTCAGGTCCAAGCCGACCAACCCAACTTGAGGGCTGTAGCCCTGGGCTTGGCCGTCTCTTGGCTCCCCCTTCTGGGCCTCCTTCTCCTCCAGGGCCCGTTTCTCCTGAATGCGAGTGCTGATCTCCTCCTGAAACCTGCACATCTGCTCCTGGAGCTCACTGATGAGATTTACCACACACTGGGAGGGTTGGAAGACAAATGAAGGGTGGCAGAAGAGGTGAAATGGTGAGATGAGGTGAAGAAAAGAGGAATAAATGAAAGTCAGTTGAGAGGAGGAGAGGAGAATAAAACATGAACTTATTTGTTAATCAGTCAGTACAGGGAAAATGGTTGATGCCACATCTGGATCACTGTTGGCCATTTGTAGTAGAAAACACATAAAAATCTTGTGAAACACACAAAGCACAAAGATTTACACAAACACTTGAAGCGGAAGAAAGAAATGCTTAAATTCAACTGGAGAAAATGTTAGAATCCTAGAAAAGAAGGAGCATTACACCTCAGCACATTGACAAACAACTGAAAACATAAGAGTAACTTTTACTCCTTTAAACACTTTTGCATTATGCAATGCCCTCCTCTTGTATTAGTGCCGTAAGAGTGAGATTGTGGGAGACAGATGCAGGCAAGGCATCATGCCTCACCGTCTTACATTGTTGAAATAGTGTGAAAAACAGATCTGTGCTCAGCTACAGCGTGAGTGTTTCTGCGCCACCTCCCTGCTGGCTCAATGTGACCACTGACAGGAAAGGAGCGACCACTTTATTCTTAAGGTTAGTCTGGGGTCAGAGGAAAAAGCAGGAAGTCTAGTGGAGTTTGGAGAGCAGCGGTGAGCAGACAAACACCTCCTGTCAGCCAGAATTAGAGTGGGGTGGTTAAGAATGGGTTGTATTGTTTGGGTGAACTGTGCTCCAACTGAGTGGATGAATCATTGTGTCCAATTAAATCAAGACAGCGGTCACAAATCACTAATTTGTCTCAGAGGGTTTTCCCAGTCGAACCAGCTTTTGTACAGGAATTAAAGATCGAAAGGTCAAACGCAACACGCCCCGTTGTGATACGACCACGACACTTTAGGCGTTCCAAAAGCCCTCAACCAACAAGTCTGTCATGCTGATACACTTAGTGATTTTGCATTGTACTGGCTGTTAAGCTAGTGGTTGTTATTAGGATTGGATGTTCCAAAAGCTTCATTTATCCTGTTTACAGTCACATCAGAAAGACTCCACCGTACCACTAACAATCAATAGCAAGAAACACTAAAACAAGAAATTGTATTTAGGAAAAAATAAATCAGATTATCTTAAATATTAAAAGTGTCTCATTAATTAAATCCAGTGTCATAGAACAGGCCGTGGAAGATGTCGAGCGTATCCACTGAGGACAGATCAGGGCTAGCATCTGTCTTCTGCTGACATTAGAATAGTTTCCATGGCAACTTCTGATGTTGCACAATATAAGTATGATACCATATTGTAAATATAAAAAATGGCAATAGGAACAAGCTGCCAAGATTTCAGTCTCTGTCATTGTGCTTCGTGGCCTATTTTACATTTTACATGAAAGGCAGCTCAGCAGGCAGGGCTGTTTTAAACTACATAAAATCCACATTTCAGGCATCTAAAGCATAATTTTGTATAAGTAATAACCCCATCTGGCGCACCAGGGTTATTATAACATGCCTGAGCTCCAGCCAAGTCTAGTCGCATGGGAAACAGAGCCGTAACCCAGAATTTAGACCAATAAAACAAAACAAGACAGGATGTAAAGACAGGAAAAAAACAGAGCGTACAATAAAGAAGAGACATGAAGGTGCACATAGCAAAGTCTCTAACTGTTCTTTTTGTTTACACACATTAAATGTTGAGCAAACTGTTGGTCTAAGAAAATGTCACAGCTCAGGGGAATCTTGTTCCTGAAAAGTGGTTGCTTTAGTACTTAAAGGTGTTCGTGAGACGGCAGCGAGCCTGTGTGTGGTGTTGGTGTGGTTTCCTGAGGTGAAAGTGTTTGGCCCCGAGGAATGCTCAGAATGGATGCTTGCCATTCCTCCTGACAGCCTACCGGAGCCTCGCAGCTGTTACTAACCACACACACAGACACACGCACAGACACACACATCCTGACTTTACTGACAAAAATGCAGACCGGTGTCAGCCCCATCATAACGTAAACAAAGCAAAGCACCTCAGCTGCACACCGGACATGTTGGATTCTGGTGAGTACGTATGTGCATCTCAATACTGAATCAATACTAAACCAAGACAGCACCAACTTATAAAAACAGCTCATTGACAGGACTGATGTTAGATTTATGTGGTGGAGCCTCAAGCTGAGAGAATAGGCCTCATGATCCCTGAAGCAGCCTGAAAAACAGACTAGATAAAGTGAATAAGTGCCGCCCAATTCCTGTTGAAGTTTGTGCTGCTTTTTTACATTTTTTGCAATATAACCTATTAAAAAAGGACTGCTTGATAATATCCTGCACTATTTTGTTTAATCTGCCTGTTAGATTTAATGACTCATTAACTGAAGGTGCCGAAATGCTGTTCCGGATTGTTCCAGCTCATTGGCTACATGAACTCATGCATGTAACCTAAATGGATTTTTTGGATACATTTCAGCACCAAAACTACTGTGTTAGGTACAGGCATGATGCCTTGGATTAACAGTAGCCACATGCTAGAAAGTGACAAGATTGCATGTAAAAGATGGGAACATGCTGCAAATATATTTCTAGGAGCACACAAACGGATTTACTAACATCTGCGATATGCAGGTTACTGCTAATTGCACCAGTATTTAATGCTGAAAACAGGTATTGCATTTTTTTGTGCTGGATATTAAAATGAACTGACCACCCGTGCTAAGCAAACAGTGCAACTTTTGCAAATCACTATTTTAAACCAACATTTTAAACATCAATTTAACAGCAGTGTGAGACAAAGTGGAGCAGCTAGCATGACGTGAGTAGAAAGTGCCAACATCTTGGCACTTTCTACTCAAACCAAGGGTTTGCAGGCAGTTTTCTTATGAAATAAGGATCATGTCAGGTACACTAAACTCAGGTTCACTGTACCTGAAATGGTATCGGAAATACTGGACAGCTCCCAGGATTTATTGACAGAATGTGGCTTCCTGACTGAATAAAAAAGTTTTCTGCTAAGACAAATGTTCTTCTTGTTATTGAGTGAATGTGAGCTTTGCGCAAGAAGCAAAGTCAGCTCACACTTGGTTTTCTCATAGAATCCGACATCGCTGGCAGTCACGTCCTGCAGGATTTGCAGATTTGCAGTGTGGCTATCATGCACGTTCAGTTAATGCGCACCTTACAGGTCAGAAAACAATATTTCAAACTACATCCTGTCACTTTTTGTACATCAGCCGTCTGTTCCTTCTTTTTTCTCTGTCCTCTCTCTTTTCGTCTGTTCCCTTCACTATCTCCTCCCCTCTGTCTGCTTCTGCTGATGCTTATCACACTCCATCCATGTGCGGTTGCAGAGTATGGGCCCCTGCGTGTCAAAAATGCTGTATCGTGTTTATTCTATCAGAGCACGGCCCTGGATGGCTTGTGATAGCTTTACACACAGACACACACACGCACACACAGCGAAACCACATGAGCAGCCTTAGTATCCGTTTGTGCCAGTGGGAAGCAGCTGGGTGTCACAATGAACAAAGTCCACACAAAGAAACTAGTGAAGACAAGCAAAGGCTGCTCAGCCGGACTTGGTTGGAATGCGTGTATGTGTGCATCGTTATTGTGCGTTCTGTCAGTGAGGGAAACAACATCCTAATGTAACTCTCACCTTCACCGAGGCCCAAACCTGTTGCTGAGCTGAGCAGTCGTTTTCACCTACAATCACTGGCCACTTCATTGGGTACACCTGTTCAAGTGGTTGCTAATCAAAATAGCTAATCAGTAAATCAAATGGCACCAACTCAATGGATTTAGGCATGCATGCATAGTCAAGATGACCTGCTGAAGTTAAAACTGAGGACCTACATGGTTGTTGGTGTATTTCAGCGGGTGCTGATCTACTGGGATTTTTCTGCATAACCATCTCTACGGTTTACAGAAAATGGTCCAAAACAGCGGTCCCCAACCTTTTTTTGCTCCACGGACCGGTTTATGCCCGACAATATTTTTACGGACCGGCCTTTAAGGTGTCGCGGATAAATACAACAAAATAAAAGAAGTTTTAAGAAAAGAAGATTTATTCATAACACACGTGAAAAGACCCAGGAAAACAGAGTAAACGATAAAAACGATAACAAAATAACGCTGAAAACCGATAAAAACCCTGAAAACCATACATTTCACACCTGAGCCTCAACTCTCGCGGCCCGGTACCAAACGACTCACGGACCGGTACCGGTCCGAGGCCTGGGGGTTGGGGACCGCTGGTCCAAAAAACTGAAGATACCCAGTGAGTGACAGTTATCTGTGAGAAAAAAACCTTGTTGATGCAAGAGGTCAGACATGAGCAGCTGCTTTGAGATTATGAGAAGGCAACAGTAACTTGAATGACCATTCCTCACAACCAAGGTTTAAGATCGCCTCTCAACACGTCAAAGCTTGAAGCAGAGGAACTACAGCAGCAGAGGACTACACCAGGTTTCACACCTGTCAGCTAGAAAAAGAAAACCGAGGCTACAGTTTAAATGGGCTCACCGAAATTGGAGAGGATTGGAAAAATGCTGCCTGGTCTGATGAGTTTTCTGCCGCAACATTCCTGGTTGGATCAGAATGTGGTGTGAACGGCATTAAAGCTCCAGCCTGGCTTCAGGTTGTTGGTGGTGTAAAAGTGTTGGGGGATATTTTAATGACGCACTATGACACACTCACTTAAATGCCATCGCCTACCTGAGTACTGTTGGTGACCAAGTCCATCCCTATATAACCACAGTGTACTCATATTCTAATGGCTGCTTCCAGCGGGATAATGTGCCATGACACAGATCGTATTAAAATGGTTTCTTGAACATGACAATGAGCTCACAATACTTAAATGGAGGGTGTTCACTTTTCTGTAAAAGTCATGACGGCCATACTAGAATTATTGATTTCTTGACTTCAAAAGGTGGAAGGGCTTTAGGTGCACCAGGTATTAGTGAGGCTCGTGAGTTTCAGGTGTTTTTTCACAGTTTCAGTTAATTATTTCTAAAGTCTCCGATCAAAAACAAAAACTGTTCCGCTGACTCTTTGCAGGATGTGAGCAGGGTGGTGCTTAAACTACTGTTTGATGTGTTCTGGCTTGTTTCAGAGCCTCACCAGTGAAGTTTGTACCCCATCCAGACACATTTCATCATTACCTTTGCCAGTCAAGTTGGCCAGAGGGTGGGCATGTTTTCACCATCTGCCTGGTTATTATCTGGGTGACAGATATTTCAGGATCGCAGGACAGATTATTCATTTGGCCTCCACGATTTCCATTTAAATGTGGGACAAAAACTGTGGGAAAATCCTGCTCGTGTGACTTTTTCACTGGTTTAGTGGGTAAACCAAACCTGAAAAACAACAAAAGTAACAGCAGGCTGCTGCTGTGGAAACGAGAGTCAACATGAGAGTTTCTAGAGAAAGCTGTAACGGTTTTTCCTTTTTGTTACACATGGCTTAAAGACAAACCGCTATACAAGCGTAAAAAGTTTAACCGTTACCATGAAACTTCAGCAACTGAAAGGATTTTTTTTAGAAAGATAGCAAGAGGTCTGTAAGTAAATCTTTGAATAAGAAAATTATGAAATCTGTACTAATTTGCATAAATTTCCAACAGACAAGTGTACAAGGTTTCATGTACAGACTGTGCCTTGTGTGAAATAGCCGTTGCCTATACAATAATGTACTTACAACTCTGAGGCTGATAAGAGCCCTGTGAATAGACCTGGTTAGCATCAAACACACATTCCACCAATCACACTCCTCTTTAGCGGGATCGTCTGCCACCAGCCGACAGGTGAGGTCTCACAGACAGGCGATGGGAGGAATCAGCGCCTCATAGTTTAATCCACACATTAACATTTGTTTTCCTTCTTTATAAAAAGCTTGGATGAGAGAGTATAACTTGTGAGAACAAGCACAGACGCAGAAACCAAAGTTGCAGAAAGAGTTAGAAAGAAGACATGTAGTTACTGTTATATCTGTAAGCCACAATATTGCAAATACATATTATACAATAACATAATAATCCCCCCTCCCCCCAATCTGTGCCTTTCTACTGTGACAGCAGTAGCCCCTGGTGAATGCGCATGTTCCCTCCTGGCTTTGAGACAAAAAACACAATAAAACCAGACAAACAGCTTACATACATCCTTAGACAGCATGTCTGAACTTCCCAAGAGCTGTACCACAGGATGCGTGTCCCTAAATAACCCCTCGTGGAACATACGGAATAAAGATTATTAAGCTTTATTTGAAAAACAGTGGTAAAAACAATTGTGTTGTCTATTGATGTGCATTTTGAAGGTGATTTCATTCAAACAAAGCGGTGGCTGCAGACCTGATCATACCAGCGATGATGTTTTTGTTCCACTGGTTGCTCTTTGCAGCTGATAAATAGCCCAAACTAGCAGAAATGTAGTGAAGGATCACCCAGGCAAACACAGCTGAACAGTTAATGACAGTTGTGATTATTCAAGACGCTAATATCACATATTCTGATGTTGCATTACGGAGTTTTAGAGTTGGGCAAGATGAAAAGTATGAGACAGTCGGTATCTGGCCTTTCCACCCAATGAAGTACCTGAAAATCAATGTGTATAATCAAAGTACCAATAACTGTTTAATACCAACAAGTAAGTTAAAATAATACTCTTAATCTGTGCCCTAAAATTAGATGGTTTATTTCCCAACCATAAACAGGATTAACTGTGCAAAGTAAAATGTTCATCCTCCTGTTATTTAACTCTACAATACATCAATATGTACACAGAAGGGGAAACTTCCACTCAGGCAAGTGTGGCAGGGATCTTGGCTTATAGCCCATTAAACACAGACATCATACAAGTTTTCCATTTCTAGATCAAAGACTTGAATGTGTTTGAAAGCATGTTTGTTGACTTTGCGTACCTCAGCTTTGTTCTGCTTTGTGTCTGTCGAATCCTGAGGGTGTGAGTTGGTTTGCGTCTCCTCCATGCTGACCAGCTTCAGTTTGAGAAAGGACACCTCATCCATCAGATCCAGCTTCTGAGTTTCTAGCGAGGTCCTGCTCATCAGCTCCTGGGAGAATCACATGTGCACCATCTAAGTCAGATGCATGGGAAGCAAACACGCAACTTACTCAAGCTAGAGCAACGCAGCTTTTGGAGATCGGTGTTGTGAGACTAAGCAGGCTACTCCACTCAGCGTATTGTTGTTCCCACACTAACAGAGCAGAGCGGTTGGGGCCCAGACCCCACAAAGCTAAATATATACACACACACAAGCGTGCTAGAGACTCTATTAATATATGCCTTCTTTGGTATGAGAGAGAGTAAAAGAAAGAGCATCTAAAAAAGAGAGAGAAAGAAAAAAAGCACTCTACTGGACATGAAGGAACGTTTTTCTGACTCATACAAAACTCTGTTGCTTTCAATTCCTCATCTAAACTCCTTTAAATTGCACTTCCTCCTTTCTAAACTCAAACTACAGTTGACCTGGATTGCTGATTAAGCCTTTAACGTCCATCTTCTTGCTCCATACTTGTTTAGTATGAAACATTTAGAAAGAAATGGGAAGAAAAAACACCCCCAAACAGACCAAATATGAACTTACAAGCTTTTTGTGCACCAATTTAAAAAGCTTAATAAGGAGAAAAAAAATTGGGACACGTGTAAAAACTAGGACTGTCAACTCAAGTGTGACCCCCACTCATGATAATATAACAATAACTGTGGAAAAAAAAATTACAACTTTATATGATTCCAGGAGGTTTGGTTCTGGGGCAATGGTGTCAAATGGCGGTGGCTAAAGCTGCCATATCCCTGTTACTTTTAACTTTGCTAAACAGGACAAATGTCGTTGATATATGCAGGACTCAGCTTGTCCAGTTAAAGCAGAGCACTCGATTAGACCAGCTACGCCCTGTACTCACACATGTGCGCGTCAAAACGCACAGTTGGGTATTTAACGGAGCAGTTAGCTTTAGCTCAGAGCGCTGTGAAGGCAAAGAGGAGTGGGAGCTTTAGAAAGAGCACAAACAAATCTGAAAATGAACTAACTGAATGAAGGCTCGCAAAAGTTCACCTCTTTCTAGTCCAGTCCTTCAGTCAGAAAAGCAACAAAAGCCAAGTGAGTGAGTCAGTGTAACGTAACCGCTTTGTTATGGGAAGTGATTTTCCCGTAGAAGTTGCCGCTTTGACAGAAATGTTTTTGCTGTAAGAGCTAGTCATATTTTCTTTAGTCACAGTCAGCAGTAGGTACTGAAAGTCTTTTACTGAGAAAGCAGAGAGCTGTGATGAAGTGCAAACTGAGGCTGTAAACATACATTTTCTGCTGTTTAATAGTTTTTAATATATCACACTCTTGTTTTAAATCTCTCATAGAGACATCGGATAGGCAGACTTTCTCAATGCCTCCAAATCGAGCTACTTTTATGTTGATTATTTTTGTGTGCTTTTACTGTACTTGTTTGCAATTCTTCATTTTCTTTGTTCTGCTTTTAACTGTCTTGCGCTCTCCCTCCCAGTTTTCTGTAACCTTTAAATGTTTCTCAAACGTTTTATTACTGTTTGTTTTACCGTGACTATCTTGTCTTGTTAAGCATCTTGTAGCCTTATAGTTGAGCTATATAAACGTATTATTAATGCAAAACTTTTTTGAGATGGTTTTGGAGCAGAACAACAATCAGAATCATTTTTTGCTTCTCTATTTTTTCATTTGTGCGTGCACATTTTCAAAATGCCAAATGAATCAAATTCAATAAAAAAGATGCTGGGATTTTTTTAGAATTATAGCCACACACTTCTCACATGAGCCTATTTTAAATAACATATATTTAAGACAGAAATTCAATGACTTGTGAGCGGTCAAATAAAGTAGATTACTGTCCATTAAATGTCAGACAAGGAATTTCTTTCTAAACGGAAACATCACATAGTAAACAAACTGTGTCAACACCACAGCCACACAAATGAACAACTAAACCCCATAATCACTCCAGCTCAGCAGCCACACACACACACACACACACACACACACACACACACACACACACACACACACACACCACACACGCAGATATTTAGAAAATCTCTTTCGTTATGGCAGCTGACTGTCAGTTTGCAATCTAACACCAGTGTCACTTACAGAGGGATAAGCCGCAATATTTAGAGGTAATTCATCCACACGCTGTGGTCATGGCCCACGGCTCAGCTGCCTGACATTTGCTTTCCTTTAATAATGAGGCCGTGCCGTGCATGTGACTAATTATCATATGCACCACAGAATTTATAGATCCCTTTAAAGAGGCTGCGCTCATCTCCAGAGTTAAATATGGCACGACTAGACAGGAGAACTTGAAGTATATACTATCTAACGTCTTGATGCATTCTCAATCATCCAGGAAAGTAAATCTCCAAAAGTTGATTCTGTTCATCTGGACGTAGCGTTTTGTGGGAGAAACGTTTCGTCACTCATCCAAGTGACTTCTTCAGTCTCAGCTGACTGCAGGTTTCCCCAAATCTTATAAACAGTACATTTGCATAATGACTGAAACCAGCCCACTGAAGGAACAATGGGCTGGGAGGTCAGTTCCTTAATCTTAACCTCATACCACAGGCTATACCCAGGGGAATCTACACCATGCCTGTATGGTTTACCAAAAATACATAAACAGGGTGCACCTTTAAGACCGATTGTCTGCATGATCAACTCTGTCACCTATAACATCTCCAAGTTTCTGGCTTCGATCCTCAACCCGCTGGTGGGCAGCTCTGAACACCACATCCAGAACACCCTGGATTTTGTTGAGAAGGTGAGAGATGTCATTATGGAGGCAGATGAAACCATGGTCTCGTACGACGTTACATCTCTCTTCACTTGCATCCCAGTCACGGAAGCGTTGGAGGTAGTCCGTAAGAGATTACAGGATGACCCCAACCTCAGCAACAGGACCACTCTCAGCATCACCAAGTGTGTTTGAACTGTGTCTTCATTCCACCTACTTCACATACAAGGGTCAGTTCTACAGGCAGAAACATGGGTGTGCCATGGGCTCCCAGTTTCACCCATCGTGGCCAATTTGTACATGGAAGAAGAAGCAGAAAGAACTGCACATCAAGAAGGCCCTGAGTAAATGTGGTTATCCCAGCTGGACTTTTGTCAAAGCTGGGAAAGGCACCTAAAGAAAGCTCCAGCCGATCCAGGAGAGAAGGACAACCGCTGCCCAAGCGAAAACCTGTAGTGATCCCATATGTGTCAGGAGTATCGGAGCAGTTGAGACGCATTTTTTCTAAACACCGGGTCTCTGTGGCTTTTAAACCCCAAAACACGCTGCGCCAAAAATTGGTCCACCCCAAGGATCGGGTCCCCCGACACAAACAGAGTAACATAGTGTACGCTGTTAAGTGCCAGGAGGATTGCCAGGATTTATACATCGGGGAAACCAAACAACCTCTGGCGAAGCGGATGGCACAACACAGAAGAGCCACCTCGTCAGGCCAGGACTCTGCAGTCTGTTTACACCTACAGGCCAGTGGACACTCTTTCAAGATGAGGATGTACACATCCTGGACAGGGAGGAACGCTGGTTTGAGGGCGGAGTCAAGGAGGCCATTTACGTGAAAAGGGAAAGACCATCTCTGAATCGAGGAGGGGGCCTAAGGGTACATCTGTCACCATCTTACATGCTGTGATTGCAGCCATTCCCCAACTCTCTGTGAATGGTACTCATGGCCATTGATCAGTGGGTTTTGATCAGTGGGTTTTGGTCAGTGGTTGTTGATCAATGGTCATGAGAATTTGCATAATTAAGATTAAGGAACTGACCTCCCAGCCCATTGTTCCTTCAGTGGGCTGGTTTCAGTCATTATGCAAATGTACTGTTTATAAGATTTGGGGAAACCTGCAGTCAGCTGAGACTGAAGAAGTCACTTGGATGAGTGACGAAACGTTTCTCCCACAAAACGCTACGTCCAGATGAACAGAATCAACTTTTTGGATATATACTATCTATTTGTTTAAAAATTAAACACTCAATAAAATCGCAGAAGTAGAAGTTTGGTACTGTTTTTGCCTGTGAACTTACCGTTACATTGCTCACTATGTTCTGAAAACAAATCCCATGCTGTTCTATTCTCTCGGTGTAACTAGCATGCTGCCCTATTATATGTTACAGTAGGCTCTGGTGCATAGGTAATCTTCTTATATATTTACCCCGTCATTTTATGTCATGTCATAAGTAGTCATCTACTCTCAGCCCCTTTCAAATATGCACTGCTTCTGATTTTAACACGTCAGTTTTAGGTCTGTTTGAGCACCTTTGCTTGCTCCCCTGTAAGAAGTTACATCAGGCACTTTAAACCTAGCAACAGTTCATTTTTTATGTTTTTCCGCTATGTGTTGACATGCCAAAAGGTTATGGAGATATGAGTTCTTCACTTCAGGCAGGTGAGCTTTTTTGACTCAGACGTGACCATATTTGGACGAGAATGTTGAGATCTAAGTTATAAGCTAAGGCTTGCAAGCTCTGGTTTTCATGTTGCATCTATAAAATGTAGAGGTGCAAAATCAAGATACATAAAAATATCCTCATTTCACTCACCAAAAGGCAAAGCACAGATTCACTGGGCATTCTGTGTGACATGGTCCCAAATGACAGAAAAAGATTGCCAACACAGTGGAAAGGCTCAGTTCAGTGACTACAGTTAGCTGAAATGAGGCCTGACCAAAATCAGCTATGACTCTTCATACTGGCATAGTTGTTAATCCAAGCAGTCGGCTGTTTAGGCTAACCTTAAATCTACCTAAATGTTAACACATTCATCTTTCACATGAAAGATCCCCGGCTCAACACCCAGAGGAGACACTAACTAAACCTCAAAGGGGGTGACAATCTAATGCACTCCTGGTCCCGATCCAAAGCCCAGATAAATGGGATGGTTGCGTCAAGAGGAGTGTCCTGTGTAAAATCTGCTCTGGTTTAAAAATCTGGACACAGCCACTACAGCAACCCCTTGGGAAATATGGAAGCAGCTAATGTCCTCAGACATGCAACTGGACGTTGACGCAGCCTGCACTGGCATAAATGCTGGCATGGCTTCAGCTTTGAGTAGGTTCAAGGCTCTGCTTAGATTCACCACAGAAAGAAAACTCAAGCGTGACCTTTAGAGCCAACCTCAAGTGCCAACAGCAATTTTGGCACTTTCAGGATCCTCAGCCTCAGTGGTTCTCATTTGATTCAAGCCATTCCCATAACTGTAGGTAGGATGTGGTAATCATCATCACTTGCAAGTTGCAACATTTTATTATTTTATTATTATATTATTGATATTTCTCAATCTCTGGTTGCCAAATCACGGACTGTTTTAGAGACCTCCGCCTTTTTGTTTTGGCCAAAAACGCAGAAAATAAAGAAACATCAGCCAGAGAGTGCATGGAAACCAGAAATACTGGGAAATTGCTGGGCTGTTGATATTTTTTGGATAATAATGAAGACAGTGAATGACGTCTGCTGTTGAGTCAATTACATTTTTAATGAACATGGCAAAATATTAAAACATAATGGCCCATGAATGTTTATGCGCGTTATACTTGTCTTGTATGTTGTTTAGGATACTGTGTAACTACAACAGTGTAAGCCGTGTAGACAGAAATGTCTCAGTACAGTAATTTTTATGTCTAAATAAAGGCACTGTAGGACATGTAGTCACAGTATGACTACATGTGTGGGTGGATATCCTCCAGCATGAGAACTCTGCACCCTGTGGTGTGTGTGTGTGTGTGTGTGTGTGTGTGTGTGTGTGTGTGTGTGTGTGTGTGTGTGTGTGTGTGTCCTGAGGGCTATTTCTTATTAGATTAGTTGTGGTTCCCACAGCAAACAGCAGCCCTGCAGCGCTGAAACATAATGCTGCATGGCTGGATAAACTCTTGTTCGCCTGTCGCTTGTCTCTCTCGCTCACATACAGACACACAACTTGTTTGTGTTTGCTCATGTGAATACTATCCTGTGAATACACTACACAGAATCAGATGTACAGCATCCATCTCCACGCCCAGCTGACGTCTGTTAACGGAGGCGCTCATGTTTGCAATGTGCTGCAGTGTGAAGTCCCTTAATTTCAGGCGTTTTCAGGTGTCCTTCTACCCCTGTACAACTTTTTGTTTTTTGGCTTCATGCTGACTGTCCACTTGAAGGTGCTGCACTTCACTTTTTCCCATTTTCTGGGAATAATCTAAGCTTCAAACATCTGTGGAGAGTTCTTAAGTCAGCGGTGTCCAACTCCAGGCCTCAAGGGCCAGTGTCCTACAGGTTTTAGGTATCATCCTGGGTCAACACACCTGAATCGAATGATTAGTTCGTTACCAGTCACTTCAAGACATGTTGAGGAGGTCATTTAACCATTTAGATCAGCTGTACTGGATCAAGGACACATCTAAAACCTGCAGGACACCGGGCACGGAGTTGGACACCCCTGCCTTAGCCTCCTAAGACCTGAACTCTTCCACAGCATGCATTTTTATTTTCTCTTTGATATTTGGGCATATTGGGGCCCGATGAATGTAAAAACAAAGAATTACCAGATTTTTTTTTTACCTTACTTTTGTTTTTAAGAAAAATAAGAGCCACGTATTAGGATATTCGTTTAAAATTTTGAAAGAACAGTAGCAGTATAATGTCCTCGTAAGTGGATATCAGGCCCTTGTAGAGCAAAATTGAGTATTTTGGTCTAAATAACCCAAAATGTGATGTCCACATATGTGGACGCCAGGACCTAGGAGGTAAAGTCAACTAACTTAGCATCCAACAATCCGGAGCTTTGCTGATATTTTGTTTTTCAAAATCTTCATTTTGTTTTTTTCCCCACTTTTGCTAATGAAAGCATTAAAATATAAATGTGATTTTATGTGAAAACATAAACCCGCAGAAATCAGAAGATGAATTTATCGTGTGTCACAACCTCGATATGATCCAAACCAGTGTACTCATACTTGTGTATTAGACACTGCAGAAGCAGACGTGTTTGCCACCTTTTAAATCCTTCAAACATGCCCTGTAATTATGCACGGAGAAGATTTAAGAGGTACATAACTGATAATAAAATACAACAGACACAACAGACGAGATAGAAACTGAAAACACCGGTCCACGGTTATCTTTCTCCTCACTCAGCCCTCATCTCTGCAAACCAAACATCTCATATCAGATTAACTATTTGAGCAGCGGTCGTAAAGTGTAAAAGGGAACCACTCGCAGCTACTAACAAACAACCACAAACCAGGACGACAGCTGCAGATCAGTGCAGCTAAAACCAGGAAACACCACAAACGTCAAGTCACAAACCAAAAAGAAGATCAGTAGCAGCAGAGATTTTTTTTTAAAAAAAGAGAGAGAGATGTTTTATTCCTCCTGTGTTTTTACCTAAAACTGGTTTAGATCACTTGAAAAAACATCAACAGCAATAACTAATAGATAACAAAGGGTGGCTGGATGAGGGAGAAAAACGTCACGGCCGCGGTGGGGTATTTATTTGGGGGCTGTGGCCTTTTTATCCTCTGTGCCGACAGCGAGGAGGACAAAGAGCCTGTTGAGGAGTCTAAACAGAAGCCTGATTCTGTGATGCACAGAGCTGCAGGCTTGTTGTGTCCAGCTTGGCAGAGCTCACGAGCTTGCCTCACTGGTGACGGCAACCAAAACAACTGAAACGACTAGAAGACTCTGCTTCAGAATTATGACCTACTGTGGGCAGCAGTAGAGAAATCCAAAGACTGGCCGGCTGAATAAACTTTCCATTTACTGCACTTTGCTCTACAATTATTGTCCAGCAGTGCCTTAAAGTGCTAAGTGCTTAGGAGCGCATACTAATGGGATTTTCAGTAAGGACAGACGTTGATGCACATGAGATAGTATTTACTTGTATTTATCTGTTTCCTGATACTGAAGACAACAAAACTATAAAACAATACAGATTCAACTGTTGCCTCTGTTCGCCTTGCACACATTTTGCAACATGTGACTGAGATCTTCACGCAGGATTAATATAGTCTGTATTTGACATTAATTTTCATATTCAAAAAACCCCAAAGGCTTGATGCTTTGACAATTCTTTTCAGTTAAGGACAAAGTATGTACATATAGAGAGATAGATTATATAGAAGTTATATGAAAATTGCTTTGATGTTAAAAATAAATCTTTGATAATTCTTAGGCCACATTGTACCGACACAAAGGCTTTGATCAATTCAAAGTGTATTCTTCTTTTTATTCGCTTGCTCTTAGTCCAGTTTAAATAGACCTTCAATGCTCTGTCGGTTTCCAAATATATCCCCTTTGTTATTAACCTATGTTATAAATGTACTCACAGTTTACCAGATGTTGTAATGAAATGAATATTTAATAATCAGACTGGCCCATTTTCTGTCAACATCTTTCAGTAATGCTTTTGAAACACACAGGATTTCACCGCTGCTCATGTTTTAAAAACCACGTTTATGGAAACCTTTTTTCGGTTTCGTGTATCTGCTGCTGAAATCTGGGCTTTATTTCTATGTTTTGACTGATTCTCATCCCTCCAGGACCGACAGCAGTTGCATTAATGTAAAGTCAACATTAGTGGATTACATCCAATGAATGGGACATAGCTGGTAGCAGAACATTTTACATCCTTTATCTAAAAAGGTCACCTTCAAACTCACTGTACTGTAAGAGTAAACTCTGTCTAATCTCATTACATCTCACTGAACACTGAGTAACTTCGAGCTTTGACCCTTTAAAATCTAGTTGTTTTGATGTCTCTGTTATATCCACCACACAGCTAAACAGGGACAGAGTCAAAGGAGGCCAGCGAGCATAAAATCAAACTGGAACCCTCAATAAAACACTGCGCCACTCCTTTATTTATTCATTTACAGTAACAACTCACTCCTGCACTTTAGTCACTCTGAACATCCTGTTGGATAACTCCCTGCTATCACCTGAAGTCAGCGACTTGGTATTTGCTCTAACGTAAAACAGAAAAAAGACACGCCAAGTGACAACAAGGTCAACTCAATAAGTATGACCTCTGTCATAGTTTCATTTTCAGTTACCATCTGTCTGGGCACCATTTGAGACCACATTTAGTGTTTTAAATATAATACACTCTCCTCTTTAGGCTGATGCAGTTTGCACTGAGAACAAACAGCTACGGCCCTCTGTAGAGAGCCTGTGTTAATACTGTTATAGCAATATATTTTATATACGGGGGTTAAAACAGCTTTCTTAATTGATTGAAATTAAACTAGTACAGAGGACCAAACAAACTGCAGTTCATCTAAAACCAACTTGAGGCTAGTTCCACAAAGTGAGTCACCATTACCACTCGCTCCTTTGTTAAAAGTCCCAAAGTTAGTGGTGAAATCTAAATTTTACAGATGATTTCACTCTCTGCTAGCCTAGCTTGCTGCCTTTAGTTAAGCCACAGTGTTAGCCAAAATGCTAACAATGACATCCAGAAACCACAAAGGCCATGTCCACCTTTTATGCAGAGTCTATTACGACAAATGCCATTTTCTTGCCATATTGTCTGTATTGTAGCATCAGAATCCCTCCAGGGTGGATCAAGCAACATGCAAACAATAATATTTCATCTGTTCAACATTTTTCTGTGACAGGTTTATAAATGGTGTTTTACACGTGCTTTACCTGTTGGAGCATTTCTTCAGTGGAGGCCAGTTTCTGGCGGTGTTCCTCCAAAGAACTTTCTAGGTCTCTGATCTTCTCTCCCTGGGCCTCCACCTGGTCGGTCAGAACGCTCACCTGGTGGGTGACACAGTCATACTGTATTACACCGTCCTCAGAGAGCGCTGGCTGATCACATGCTTAAGATAAGGAAAAAATAGATAGAAATATGCAGGAGTTTTAGTTGGTAAACATTGTTTCTGCTACACTGGATACTGGATTTTAGTCACTGATACAAGTTTTTATGGGAGATAGAACTTTGTTACATTACTATAGTACTATATAATATGCTATATATACTATATAATAGTACTAATACCTGTGATAGACAAATCTTATCAGTTTGAGTCTACCCTACATATTCAAAAGTCCACAGCTTTTGGTTTATGTTTGTGTCTTTATGTCTTTTTCTTCTTTCAATCCACATAAAAGAACACATCATCACATACTTCAACTCCAAACCAACACACACACATTTACTCAGCAGTCTGTCACCTAGGAATGTATTGCACACTTACTATAATCTCTCTGACAACCCATTCACCTCCTGCCAAACGTGCACCCACACACACACTCAAAGATCCCTCCTGTTCACCTAAACGATGCCAAATCCATCTGACAGCAGCTGACTCTCTGTCACTTCAGTTTCTCTGATTTTTACCCCTGCAGCCACGTCCTGTCACACATTGCTCTGGCACAAAAGAATATTTTGTCAAGTTTTTGGCTTGACACTTGTAACCGCTAACAGAACATGAACATGTGTTATTACAGAGGGACTGGTCTGCTAAACCTGCCCTCCCTGGCACTGATGAACCATGAACAAGTGAGTAAATGAATGAACAAGTATCTGAATGAGTCACGTCTAAGAGCCTTGTGTTAGGTTTCGTACCAAAAACATGGATACCACTAACGCTTGACAAACATGACGCAAAGATAAAGTAAGTAAAAATAAAGAAACAACACGGCGTGATCTTGATATGACTGTATAAACTCCAAATGCTAAAGACAAAAGTTAAAAATACCCCTTACCTCCTTCCTCTGAGCCACACACACACAAACAGAGGTGAATGCTCTCGACAAAGCTAGAAGGAAGTTAGTTACTAACCACAGAGTGTGTCTATACTAGCACACGCTGAAGCAAGACAAAGCTTCACATAAGCAGTCTTAAAGTAGAGGCAGGTGAAAAGGCAGGAAGGCACTACGGAGGGGCAAACTGTCCACAGCCAATTAGATCACCAGTCAGTAAAAACAAGCCCCGGTTCACTTGGATCTCAACCAATCACGGGCAGTGTCAGTTGAGGAATGTGTAAGAAGTAGGTGTGCGGGTGGTGGTGGTGGTAACGAACGAGATGTGGACTTTGTGAAAACTTTGCAAACCGGGGTTGTCCAGACGGGTGGTGCACTTATCATCAAAAAAAAATCATCCGCTCGCGTGGGCTTCCCCAGAGCATAAAACAAACATACACAGAGACACAGAGAGCATAAAGGGGCAGTTCCAAAACGACAAATTAACTAGGAGGAATGTAAAGACAGACTGTGGAAATCACAGCTGCATGAACTGGCTATTAAAGAGTTTTGACAGCACAGAGCACCTCCTGACATCATATAGTTAGATGACATATAATCGTCTTTACTGCAGCCGACTAGGCGCTGGTGGTTACTGCACGAGTCGTATGTAAACACCCTCACATGCTTTCGAAGGTGTCCGGACATGTTTTGTTATGAAATAACACGAAATATCTGAACTCACAGGATTACAGATTAAAGGACAAGATGTTTTTCCAGCGTGGAACAAATCCTGCCAGACAGTCTCCTGGCTCATTTATGGCAGGGATCAAAAAGTTAGATGTAGTTGTGCATGCCAAAATAATTACAACCACATCTGAACAAGCAAACTGGGACAGCAAAGAAAAAGTACACTCTGAAAATGTGATATGAAAGTACACAGGCAGCATAGGCACGTTGCGTACATACTGTATGTGTCATTAAATGTTCAGTTGACACCGTCTATAACTTAGATAGATAAGAAATATCTGACCTGTAGCACCAGAGACTCCTTGTCTCCCTCTAGGCGAAGCAGTCGTTCTTGGTAAGTTTCATTGTTGGCTGGAGAACAGAGGTTCACCTGGACAAATGCACACAGAAGAAACACACAAAGTTCATGAAGAGGTTAAGGATGAAAGATAAGGGATGGCTTATTTTTATCTTCAAGCACTGAAGCAGAGAGGCACATCCTCTGTCCCTAAATCAGCAAAACTGCAGTCTTGTTTACACCAAAGACTGTATAGAAAAAATGAAGGTAGCCAAGGTGACCGTTTCCAAGCTTCTGTTAGCGGATTTTAGTCAGTGGCTTTTTTGGTGTGTATGTGAGAGGTGGAGATGACAACTTGTTAGCCTGCAACAAAAGCTTCCTAATGAGTGTTTATTTGTCTAAACCACAGATGAATCGATGCCTGCTCATCCTAAACATCTTAGTTTGGCACATGGAAGCTAAATTTGGCAGGTCTGATGCTGAATTACACCTTAACCACCCAACAAACACGGGGGGGATGCGCTTCCCCAAGACAGGGGCAATTTTATCCAGCTACTCATAAGCCAGACACAACTAGGTTCTCTAAAACAGAAAAGAGTATCTATTATTCACAAAACTGCACAAATACATTATAAAAAGTGCTGTTGAAGTCAGAAAATAACTTATTTACTTTGTCTGGGATGCTTTGAACAAAAGCAAAAAGCATGATTCAGCAAACATACATATTGCCAATGTTGAATTTAAAATACAAAGACGTGTAAACTGTTAGATTACAGGTAGTCAGACTGAAATATCTATTCAGTAAGATTATAAACAGCCAGTAATATGGCTTAGCTGCTAACGTTAAATGCATATAAATGTCAGAATATTGCTGATTTTTGCGCTGCTGATGCTTCAGAGTTTGACAAAGAACCAAGCTGTACACATAATCCTCTCGCTTAATGTCCAGAGCTGGTCTGGGCAAGACTGCTGACTCTTGCACAAGGAACTCACAGAGCCGATGCTGTATAAATACACATTTTTCACAAAGCACATGATACGAAGTTATGAAACATCATCTGACTCATCTGACTTCTGTTAATCTGGAAATAGCAGGATAGCGGAGCCAAATCATCGACATTGTGCTAAAGCTTGTGCTATAATTTCCACCTTTTTCATCTCTGACTACTGTAAGTCTAACAAAACATATCAGATATCAATGTATTTGCAGCAGCCTGTCAGGAGAAAAAGCCGTGTCAGGCTCTGTGTCGAAATAGAAATGCTTTCTAATGTGAACTTAAGAACATGCAAACAGCGAAAGAGACATTTCCTTTTGGTCAGAAGTTCTTTTGCCAGTTCCTTATTACCCTGCTATTAAGGTTATGGCAGAATTATGCACTCCACAACTCAGGAAGTGAAAATGAAAGTCAAGCCGAACAATTTTTAAATGGCTTTATTCCTGAATGATGATGTCTGTCCTGTTTCCATTTCTCTGCTCAGCTTTAAGAGTCAGAATGTGTTTGAATGCTGCTGGCTCCTCCGCTCCCCAACATGCTGCTGCAAACATTTGGAAAGAGAGGAAAACATTCTTATGATAAGATGATATTTTCTGCTTCTGTCAGCAAGATTAGAAATACCACCTGTTGTTAGAAACACTTTGGCTAAATCAGTTTGCACTTGCAGGCCTGTTAAACTGCAGCTGAGATTTAGCTTTGTGCTAACCCTACATAATGTTAAGAAACAGAGTGACCAGTAACACTGTATCAATGCCAAACAAAGACTGTGTGGGAAACAGCAATATTACATTACAGCTCAAACCGAATGAGCTCTTAAAACTGGAGCTTCAACACTATGTTTGCCCTTAACAGAAATCTTGCTATTTCTTTTAAACCAGATTCAAGAAGGTGCTGGAAACATTCCTCAGAGGTTTTGGTGTATACTGACATGACAGCTGTCAGTTAAACATCTATGATCCCAAAGGTGCTCTGCTGGATTGGTATCTGGTGACTCTGGAGGCCATTTGAGCACAGTGAACGCATCGTCATGTTCAAGACACCAGTTTGAAATGATTTGAGCTTTCAGACATGGCGTGCCATCCTGCTGGAAACAGCTGTCAGGAGATAAGGTACACTGTGGTCATTAAAGGGATGTATGTGATCAGCAATCAGGAAGGCACTTGGTGTGGTCTTCTCCTAGTTCTCATCTGCTTCATGTTTTGAAGTGCTGCGCATTCAGAAGTGCTCTTCAACAAATCTTGGTTGTAAGGAGTGCGTCTTTGAGTTACCGTTGACGTCTTACATCAGCTGGGCATTTTCACACAGGGAAATCACCGGATGTTTTCTTTTTTCAGACCATTTCAGGCTCTGCAAACTCTGTTTTATTTGGGAAAATCCCAGTAGATCAGCAGTTTCTTAAATGTTCCAACCACCTTGTTTGGCATCAACAACCGTGCCATGTCCAGAGTCACTTAAATCACCTCTCTTCTCCATTCTGGTGCTCGTCTCAACCATGTCTGTGTTTACTTGTGTTTAAGATAATTTCACTTGCACCTGCTTCTACATGTTTGATTGTGTTTTTCCCTCTCACCACCAAACGTCCAGTGTGGATATATGTTATAAGAGTATGAACCTTGTATATGACTACTTGAAACACTAGTATTGACACCAGCCCAAAAGTCCATTATAGATCTGTTTCTACCTGAAATGACAGAAAGCAGTAGCAGCTCTAAAGGAACTGATGGTCATTCTGGTAATATATCAAGACTGTGTGTGAAATTTAGGCCTGAATTAAGTATCACAATTATTATTACCAATTATTACAATCAATCAAATGACTGTGGATAATGTTAAAATCACTTGTAGTAGTAAAACCACATTGTCATCGCTCAGCACTGCAGTTCACCTCAGCTGTTAGCACATTTTGGCTAAAACAGTTTGTTTTAATATCTGAAGTACTGAACTTGGTTACCACTGATTTCCATCAGCAGCAGGTAGCTGTATTCATCAAACATCCCACTGGTGATACTAAAACTTAAGTTAACAACCAATTTGCAAACATGAAATGGTCGCATTTGTCCTGTAGGAGTTCAAATTGCATTTTAGATGAATGCTGAGGTTGCTCAGGACTACTACAGGATTACTACAAAGAACTAAACACTGAATGCGTCCATGTTCTGTAGGGCATGAGACAGTCCAGAGAGGACAGGAAAAATATATATTTCATTTGTTAAATATTTTTCTTCAAGAAAAGCTCATCACGTTTTTGGTGGAATTAAATGATATTTCATTTTTAACCACAGACTATGCTGATTATGGCATCTGCAGTGTTTTCTTGTACAATGATGATCGTGTGTCGGTAGAACTTTCTGCATCTGTCCCTAAAGATTTGAGGGGGGCCCAGATTTGCCAACAATCCCCACAACCATTACTGTCATTTAAGCAATCAACATTTAAGCCTCTTACTGCCAAAAATCCACTCCACACCCATCTAAACTACGATTAGCTTAACTAGCTTCAAAGTCCAGAAAAATAAATATATAAAACGCCTTTGGCATAAAATATGCAGCAGTGTAAATGTAACTGTTTGCTACAAGAAGCCGACCTTTCCTACTATCATGACGATGACCCAGTTTTAAAGAAAACGTAAACATCGAGGGTTTTTTTTGTGCTTTTAGCTGAAACTCTTATCTGATGCCACAACAACTACTCTAAACTTTAGCTTCAAGGCACATTAGTGAGCTTCCAAAACCTTATCAGTCTCTTTCATCCCTCAAAGGCCGTCTCAGCGCACAGATGAAAAACCCTAAAATCAGCCTGTAATCCTGGATGAACTGTCTGAAGCTGAGGTCACAGGATGTACACCAGCTAGGTCACCTGACGTGGACCATATGGATGCATTAAACCCATTATCAGACTTGAAATTAAACAGAGACGGGGGTAGAAAGGGGGTGGGGGACAAACTGTTTCTTTCAGAGTGTCTCTTAAGTTATAAAATGTAAGGCTGTAATAATGTTACATTTACAGTTTCTCATTCCAGTGGGAAATCTGCTGTAATCACAGATCTTCCCATCAGAAGACCGAAAAGAAGCAAGGCCATTTCAGGGTGGTGATGACACAGCGTTTGAATGGACCGATAAAAGAAACCAGGCCAGTCTGTTTTTATCTGTTATCGCCTGGTGGATTGAGTGAGAATGGACAGAGCAAGACGGTTTGGGGCCACAGTGTAATGTCTTTGCACTATCATTATATATTACAGTTCTGCAGTTGTTTTTTAAGTTTCCTTGAGTTTTCCATTAGCACTTCTGACTAAAACTGGGAAATTTAGCTGAAAACTACTAGAATATTAGTAGCAGTAAAAATTTAATTAAACAGGTTCTCTCTGTGAACCTAGAAAATATTACGTTTTTAGAGGCGTTTCAGTTTGTATCATGAAGTAAAAGTGCTTCCAGTACAAGTAAAAACAGGGTGGAGCATCAGTTAAATAAATACTAACCCATTACTTTGAGTGGTTTTTGCTTACACAGCACATTTTTATTCAAATATATTAAATCATGTATTTATGATAACTAATAATTCCTCTAATCAGCTAAGAAAATATTTAAATCATTTAGAGCTAAATACGAAACTACCTTTTGAGTTTTTTTCAGGATGTTCTCTCAAAAAACAGGACCATAAAATTCAGATTTTATTCAACACTAATGAAATTCGAATCATAGTTCTAGTACAATTTATATAAAGTGAGTACACTTCACTGCAGCAGACCAAATATTTAACAAGGCTTTGCACAAGAGGAGAGGAAACACTATCCACTCAATATAAATGATTACACTGGAATGAATACAGACATGTTTTATTAGTCGTATTTTCTCGGTGTATTCACAATAAATGTTGTGGCCAGTGGAATGGGTGGAACTGTAATGACATACAGTGGCGTGCATGATCCCAGTGTCTAAGAATGCATGACAGCATGCAGCACACTACCCACCTACTTTAAGTGATTCACATAAAAGTGCTCCAAAGGTTAGCGCTCTGTAAGCAGGTAACATGTACGTCCACAGAATTCATGTAGAATTTTACTGCTCACTTTTAAAGTCAAAGCCTGACCTTCTATCCAAAACCAAATGCTTTTAGTTTTTGGTTTTCGTCCCTCGTTGGCCCTAATCTGAGTCGTGAGTGCTCATTCGATTTAGCGCTGCAGCAACGTGTGCAGCACATTAGCTTAGGTATTCTCTCTAGTCACACCACAGTGTCTCTAAATGCAATTTAAAGTCCAATTCAATTTGCTGTCTGCTCAGCTTGACAGTAAACAGTCCCACTGAGTGTGGAAAGTGAATCTGAAGGTGAGTCAGTGGCATTTAGGATGAATTGTCATTTCTGTTTCTCCAGATCCAAGTTTGATTAACCTTCATCTTGATCTTACCACTATAATCACGTTAGCCTCAGCAATTCAAAGATGAAAACAGCTGTTTACTGTTACGTTTGTTTAAAAAAAGACAAAGAAAAAGGAAACAGGACCAAGCTGGCAGTGTGGGAGAAGGGAATGATAGCTGGTTTAGTATACTACTAAAATAAATGCCCTTTTCTCTGTCTGGAAATAACCATCACACACGCATTAAACAAAATGATCACCTAATTTGCTCTTTAAAACTCTTTGCTAATTTGGTCCTCATTATCTGAAGTAAATATGTACAGTGCTTGTTTAACAATTGTATCAGACCAACTGTCATAAAAACACTGAATTAACTGAGTTCCGATTTTGATGCCCAAATTTGAGCTGGCGCACTGGACTTCTCTGAGAAATCAAAAGTTAATCAATTCAAACATTAAAACAATTTTTTCAAATGCAAGTAAATATCTGTGCTCTCTGGAGTTTTTTTTGTAAAGCACTACATTTGAAAATTCATAGATAGCAGCGATAATTGTATTTTAGCTTTAAAAATAGAATTTTGATTAGTAAGTAAGGAAGTGAACTTTATTTATATGGTGCTTTTCAAAGACATAAAAGCCACAAAGTGCTGTATAACAATAAAACACAATTGATATCGATAGAAAGTAGAGCTGGGCGATAGAACGATAACGATATGTATCGCGATATAACTTTTACTCGATAGAGAAATTAAGCTATCGCGATAGACCTCGCCGCTCTTGTCCCCTTAAAAAATAAAAAAAATAAGTAGCGCAGAGCCGAACCAATCACAGCCGCAGTGTCACGTCGCGTGACTTGTTACGTACAGCACAAGTGCCAAGCCGCACGTGTGTTTGTTTGGGAAGCAGCCAGCGTGTAATGGAGGAAATGAGTGTGCCGACTAGAAAAATCAACCGAGCGTGACCGAAGAGAAAACAGATGATGGTTCCAATGCCGGAGAGATTGTCGAACGGAAGAGCCATAGAAGTTCCGTAGTGTGAAGGTATTTCGGCTATTTCAAGTCTGACAAAAAACAGAGTAGCGTGCACTGTAAATTGTGCCGAAAGCAAGTCTGGAAATACAATAAACTGGTGCATGCGTCACACTGTGCGCCACGTTATTGTTTCGGTGAAATGAATTTCTACAATACTGTTACTGTTAATTCTACTCTCTGCAGTGTTTAAATGCTTACATATACACACAGCCTCCACACATACGACTCGGTTCTGCTTCTATGCCGCAGCTTTGTTTACTTTTTCCCACCGAGGCTTCTAGACTTCTGATTGGCCAACATTTCTGCACGGTTAGGAATCTAGCGCCACCTGCTGCTTTGGCATGTTCATAGCAGCGTTTTCCTTCATTTCTGCCTTTATGTGTGGACGGGATTATTTTTTAAAACGAAAACGGAAAATCTCCGTTTTCAAAAATACCCGTGTACGTGTGGACGTAGCCTCAGTCTCTGACTGGAAGCGCTAATTCGTCATTCGGCTTTTGTCAGACTAAAGTAACTGTTAAAACTGTTTGAAAAGCTCAGCTATACAACAAGGAGAGATTGAGAATTTCCTTTTAGTTCTCAGTTTATTTGATATTGACAAAAGTTAGTCATTTTGTCTGTTCTTCTGTAAAACAAACTAAGATTTATTTTTAGAATTAATATTTTGTTTCTAAGTGGAATTGACAATTTAGTCTGTTTTGTTTGTTCTATTTTGAAACTTAAACGCTTTAGCGGCTGCCTTTTGTGTAGTTTGCAATATTTGCCTTTATTTATCTGAAAAAGTCTCATGTTCCTTAAGTACATCTACCCTGTTGAACTTATTATGGGAAATAAATATTTAAATAAAAACAAGCTGCTGATTATTTCACATTTTACTTGTGAGCAACGGCACATTTAAATCTTACAAATATAGTTATTTGGCTTATATCGTGATAGATATCGTTATCGCCTGAAATGAAAAAAACATATCGTGATATGAAAAAATCTTATATCGCCCAGCTCTAATAGAAAGTGAGTGAAACTGAATAAAAATAATTAACAGAAGAAAGTCAAAAGGCCTGAACTTCTGCACACTGGTGCATTGATCATTACAGAAACATAAAAAACCTTACACTGGTCTAATAAACTTGTTTATCACTGTAGTCGTATCTGGAACAATTTATAAATGGCAGCTTTGCTGTTGTGGGACCCTGTGATATTCTCTGAGCATATGTGGGAAGCCCACACCCACCCACAGAACAAATCAGGAATAAATGATCATATCCAGGACACTGAGGTGGATCAGTTGTAGAGCAGAAGTGAGTCGCAAAGCAACTGTGAAGGCTGAAGCAGCGTGATGAGAGTTATAACTGCCAGAATGAGATGTGTAGCCTCAGGGGAGTATCAACTCACATGGGCTAGCATTGAGATCAAGCTAATCTGCTGAATGCTAACAAAGGCTTTATTCCATTTTTAACAAAACAGACTGAATGAGTAACTTGGACTATCTTACTAAAAAATAAGAAAAGAGATTGTATTGCATGAATAATGTTAATTTAATTTAAATACGTTTTAACATGCTAATGTTTATTTCACACATGCTGGCCAGGTCAACAGCAAGTAAAAGAACTCAGATGTACATTCTCACACACAGATGCATCTGTGCACCTTTGTAAGGGTTCATTTATTTAATGCTATTTCACTCCACCCCTAACTTCACTCTACCTCAGATACATTATAAGATGCAGACGTGGCAGTAAAACAAATCCTGTCAGTAATCTTTTGGACGATTTGAAACACTAAGAGGAAAATCACAACGATGCACTGACAGAGCAAAACAGAATTCAGGACAGTTTCAGCTGGGTCGTTGTAGCCGTGCCTACTAGTTATTGGTTCAGTCTATGGTTAACTTTGTCATCCAAGTTCCTCTTTCCAACTGTAACTATAACATGAAGTAGCATCACATTTGTTCAGTGCACTGGAGGTAGACAACTGATTGTATCAGTGCTCCAGATTGAGCCATTAATAAATCTTAGTTTGGGGTAAGTTTAGCAAACCTCTTGACTGATGATTTTATGAATGCAATGAGGGAAGTCTGTGCTTTTTTGCTTAGAGTGCTGAACCCTCCTACCGGACCTGGATAAGCAGTAAAAGATGGATGGATATTTTTTATCCCAGCAAACTTTGAAATGAAAGTTATTCATCTCACTCATTTAGCTAAAAGATAAAACTGACCTAATAACGTTCCTAGAAGTGTAACTCACCATCTGGTGGCCAAGTGGTAAGATGCTCTTATCTAACCTTATAACCAAGTCCTGACCCTCTCACAGCCTTTTGAATTAGTGTGACGAAGTGCAGACTGGCCAACATGTCTTCAGTCCAGGTCTACTTCAAGAAGTCAAACAAAGAGCCTGTTTTTACACATTCTCTGCCCTGGTGAAGAGTCATTTCTCAAAATATACGTCCACTGTGGCAAAATATAAAATAATAATCCATAAAAATGACACAAGGCTCATAGAAGTCTAGGGGGACTCACTGACAGGCTTAAACTTTCTATTAATCTGATGAGTCACTGTGTCAGAGAAGTCCGAGTAGAATAAAGTTTTATGTTAGATATTAGAGAAACAGATAGGAAGTAATGCAGAATGATGTGAATGAGGCAAAATGCAGCAAAATCTTTTAAGCATGTGAAGGAGCCCCTTAAAAGAGACAGAGCTTGAGATCTTTGCCATTGACCTTAGCAGTTGCTGGAACTCTGTGAATGATCTGTGAATGTTAGTTTAAAGGTCACATCTTGAAGAAAGAAACTGCAATAATGTAAAACACTAGCATGCTTAAAAGCAGCATAGCTTCACGATTTTAAAGATAAATTAAATAAACCTAAGTAAATCAGACAAATGTGGTATCTCATCAGTTAAAGACTTGCTCACATGTCTTTACAACACAGATCCTGCAGCGCTAAGTCTCTCTCTGCTTAACCCCCAGAGCATTAGACACTGCTTTGACAACAACAATCAGCTGATAGTGAATATTTCCAATCTGATAACACAGTCCTCATGGATGCGTGCCTTCATAACACAACAACAACAACAGGAGATGCAGTCCAGCTCTTGAGCTGAGGGAAATTACATCACAAAGTCTGTCGCCAGGAAATAAAACAATAACAGCAGGACAATGTCAGGCATCTAAAGTGGAACAACTGCTTTGCGACGGCAGCTTCTCCTTCAAACATCTCTCCCCTCTCTCTGTTTTCCAACTAAAAGTTTCCTCCGAGGCATCAACCTAATGAAAGGAATGTGCAACACGGACAGGCACGAATATATTTAAAAAGGGGGGAAGAAGAAGACGCAGGAGAAGGAGCATATAAACAAACCCTAACTCACCTTTTTCAGCCAGGAGAAGTGTCTGTAGAAGTCAATGGGAGTCTCCATGCTCCCAGCCCATTGCTGCCCTGCCTATTTTCTTGTGTTCTTATGGGACTATCAGCCTCTGAGTGTGTCTTATGTGCAAGTTTCACAAACTAACAGTGGACTGAGCAAACTGCTGCAGCATGTGAGTACTGTCATGCAATTGTGCGTGTGACTGCGATGTTCACAGCTGTGGAGGAGGGCTTTTTATGATCTCTGCCTCCTCAGAGGGAAAACCCCCCCTGCTTGGTCCCCGTCCTCCTACTTCTCTCTTTCCTTCTTTAGTCCCACTGTGTTTTCCCTCTTTTTCTCTCCCTCTCCCTACTTACTCCCCTTCTTCACTTTCCAACTTATTTGTCCTTTTCCCTGGACGCTCTCTGCCTTCTCCACGCCCTCTTTTATTCCCGTTTGGTTGGAGTTGTCGGTCCCCCTCCTTTGCCCTCCTTCCTTTCCCCTTCTCCTTCTCTTTTCTTCCTTTCTTCACTTTTGAATCGTTCCCCGTCTTTTCTCTCTCTCGCTCTCTGCTGAGGTCCATCTGACAGCCAAATGGTCAAACCGAAAAAGAAGGAGGGGGGACGGTGGGAGGGTTTGCCATTTTTCTTCTTTCTCTGTCATCTGTTTGTGTCTCAGTGTTGGCCTATGTTTCCTCTCTCATATGTAGCCTCTAAAGCAGCAGCATCTGATGTCAGATAAGTGGGCAAAGCAGCAACAGGCTGTACTGTCAGCACAAACACAAATCATGCCAGGAGGTCCGTCTCCCTCCTTTTTTTTCGTGTGCTCTTTTAATTAAGTCACACTGCCGGGAGACGCTGGCTCACTTTCTTTGCCTCCTGTTCGTCTGTCTCTGTGTGTGATCCTCCACATGTTTAAGCCCTTTAGCTCAGGTTTCCATTTCCTGTGTATTTTACAGAGTCCACCACAACAATCTCAGCCATTTGGTCTGAACGGCAAGTTTATTTACAGCCACACAAACCCCAGTAACAAATAGCACTTTTGTGCAGGTGATTACAAGTGATTCAAGTCCTAAAATGTAAAAAAAAGTTGGATGTAAACTGTAATTTCATGGAGTCATGTTTTGTATTACTGAAAATAGAGCTGTAATATGTCAAAATACTGCAAATTTTGATATGGCCACACTTTCTTCCTCCAACTTTGTCTCTTAATACAACCTTTCTGCCTCTTTCACGCTCCTGTGCATGCTCAAGCAGAAGGTCTGTCTCATGCATCATTTTAACGAAGCTTATGCGCAAGTTCAATAAGGTAGATCTACAGTCTCACATCTGTCTGCTCCCAGGTGTTGCCGGCTAAATCTGAGCTTCAAATCTCTTCCACTTTTACAAGCTGTCAAGCTGTTTGTGACATCAGTGGTCTAGTCCAATCATCTTTCTCCCAGCCTTGTTCAGACCAATCAGCATTCACGCCGCGTACTTTAAATCTCACTGTGCATCTTTCTCCTTTGCAGTCGCCTTCATGCAATCTGCCTCCTCCCCATCACTGCCTCTTATCTTTCAGTCTCCATTCAAGTCTCCAGCTTCATCTCCACCAGCAGCCTCCGGGAGGTCCTGCTCTAATCTCTAACACCAACACGGCCATCAGAGCCTAACTGCCAAATACCTCTATCTAAATTCTGTTCTGTCCTCAGTTAAGGGGAGGGGCATGAAGAATGGTGAAAAATATAAAAATGATGAAAGGGAAACACATAATAGGTTTTTCAAATGAAGCAGAAAACTGTTAAACCCCATGAGATAAGTGAATATAATCGTTTTACAGGGTGGCATGTAGCTACAACATAGTATTGCAATATTTTGCAATACTATGTTGCATACCAAATGGCAGTATTTTATCAAATAAAGGAAAATACTTTGTGAATACTGTGAACAAGAGAGATAATCACCATCACGCAGCACCATGAGATGACATTAGCCGAACAAACTTGCATTAAATCGGCTCACACGAAAAACCATCGAACACTGGACACATTCAGTTTGACAAAGCCAGCTCCTAATTCATCACAACTTGTGGTGACTAATTGGTTCCCTACACCCTGAGGCTGTTGAACACTCATGACCACTTTGATCACAAGCTCAGGTCACCTGATAGGGGCAAACATTCCTGCACACAGTCACAGCCTGACGACTGCAGTCACTCTCAGAGATTGTCAAAGGTCTCCATGTTTAGGTCTGTCTTCCAGACATGAAGAGAATGTCTATAGCACAGTTAACCTTGTTTATATGCAGTGAATGGTTTTTAACCTACTGTGCTTTGAGAACAAAAGGGGGACCAAAATCAGCTGAGGGTAAAACAGCACCCCGATATTTCTCTTTTACTTTTTAATTCCTAATAGTTCTACCCACTCCTACCAACTGTCAGCCTGCAGGACGGGCAGAAAAGCCGTAATAAATCGCACAACTATGTGTAACGTTAAATAGGGTCCTAAGCTACACAGAGTATTCTGGCATCTTCTGTCAACACATGGCTGTATTATAGACAAATCCATTTTTCAATGTAAAATACAAAAACAAAGAAAGAAATATAACAAAATAATAAACTACTGAGTGAAAACATTAAATCGGGGACCCTGCTCTGTAAAAACAAAATCCTGACCTATTTTCTTTCATTCCATCTCATTTTTAATAAACTCTTGACAGTTTCTGCTGAAAGAACTTGTATAGTTGTATTTCTATGTATAAAAAAATCGAAGAGTTCAGGTTTTTTTTGTATATTTTCTCTTCAGCAGGTTTGGGGAAACTGAAAATGTTCATCTGCGTCACGAACACAGGAGACAACCATCTCTGGGTCAGCAGTAATGAGCAGCCGTCACCGGCTATCACAACTTCCTGCCAGAAATACACTTATGATGCTTCCTGTGTTTACATGTGCTTCACCATGAAGTATGCTCTGGAGAGAAGGCCGTGGGGTGCAGACTAATTGCAGAGCACAACTGACTCTGATCCTGTTGCTCAGGCTATAGAGATTGAAAATGTGATGTCATTCAGGGGTAAAACCGCAAAGGATTCTGGGAACTCGTGGCAAGAGGTACTAGCGCACGCAGGCTTTCAATTGAAATCAGTTACACCGCGATAAAAAGAAACACAAAAAATGGCAAGAAGCTGTTGTATTATTAACTACAATAGCCGGTCGCATGACAGCCACGGGAAGCCGAGGGGTAAAGAGATCAGTTGTTATCGGATTACATCGTTGAAGAGAAATTGTTCGCGCCATGTTCCCGAAGTAACAAAGAGCCGACGGAAGGGGGGAGAAGGTGGACAGGATGAGCTTGAGAGGAAGCAGCCAGCCTTACATTCTAGCTGCCTTGATTATCTGCCAGGCTTTTGTTCATCTGCTATTGAAATTTTCAGGCAATGTTAGCAGCTTTCCACTACAGGAACAGTCCCTCTGGAAACTGTTGACTGTGGATTATCCAGACTGAGTGAGACACTGTTCCTGTAAAGAAATGCCACACTTAACTCCTTAATCCCTGACCTACTGACTCAAATAACTTACGAGAAACTTTTTTAATGGTTTTTGTTTTGTTTAGTTAGTAATAACCTTCTACAAATACACAACTCGAAAAAGTGCTAGATTAGGATATCTGCTTGGTTTGACAAGACGGTCAGCGCAAGAACTGAACACTCTGTATTAATGCATGAACTTTCCAAGTTGAAGAAAAGCATGTTTGTGTTTATTTTTGCTTCTTCTCCTTTCCTCAAAGTCATTTTCCTGTCTCCTCTACAGCTTTCAGCGCTGACACAGTGCTTTTAACTTAAAGTCACCTTGTGTGTACTTCTTCATGAGCATCTGCAGTTTAACTTGTGAAACTGGGTGTAGTAACCACCAAAGGGACTCCAGTGGACGATGTGGATGAGGAGAAATACATTTCCACAGACCTTTTTTTTTTTAAAAGCAGTGGTCCGGAGACTCAAAGGGATGAAAACACTTGGAAGAGAGAACGGTGTAGTCTGGATCAAATACAGTTTTGGCTTTTGCTTAAAATTTTAAACTCACAAAGGGAGAGGAACAGAAAGAACAAGTAATTCTTCTACCTTGACCTCTTTGAGTATTCATTTTAAATAAAATGCTTAAAAAGAAGAAGCAGGGAACTGGAGTGATACTGCATTAATGCATTGGGAAAAAGCCTTTGGCACAGAAGATGATTAACAACCTCCAGACAGTGTTAGATTTTAAATGGTGACCAAAAACAGCACCTTATTGTAAAACACCCACCTCGTGCTGCTTATGAATTAAAATAACACATTAATAAAGACAAAAGTGTCACGTACAACACTGTGCACATCACACTGAACTTGGACTGAAAAGTGGGACAGCACTGTGGAGGAAAGCAGCAGTGAATCAAAGAGAGGAAGAAACAAAGAAGGCAAGAGGGAGGAAGGGAGGGGTGGAGGGAGGCTTGGCCAGTGATTGAGTGCAACATGTGAGACATCTGCTGTTGAAACAAAGTAGGAGTTCAAAACGCTGCTTTCCAAGATCTACTTTCCATCTCAATAACTGTGGGTAAAACTTTGCACTGCTGCAGGACAAAACTCGGCAAGAGAAGAAGAAAAAAACCTCACATAAATGACAAAAGCAGGAAAGTCAAAAAACTACATTTTTCACAAAATACCAAAAGATCCGCCTGAGCTGCAAGGTTTCAAACATCAAACCGTACCACATTTGCTATAATGTATTGGAGCAGTTAGACCTACCTTACAGCAGCAGCCCTGAGCAATCCAATCCTCTCGACAGACATTTGAGTGCCTAAATAGAAACTACCTCATTTACAGACAAGCTTGCATTAAAAACTAAATGGAATGTGTCCATAAATGCAAAGTATCAGTGAGCAAGAACAGTAGCTTTACAGGGAAAAAGAATGGATGAAGGAAAAGTAAGAGGGAGAGGGGGTAAAATAGCAAAGAGTAAACAATAAACAGAGATATTGGACAGGCTGAGAGGCCACACAGGACAGAGACAGGGTGTGAGGGAGGGAAAGCTGCACAGGAAGTTGATAATAATGGAGATGTAATGATGTCTCTGAGGAGAACCTAATGGAACTTGTCCTAAATCTCTCCGCTTATTTCCTCCTTTTGATGAAATCCATGAAAGGGTTAATAAAGATGAAACATGCTGAGAGGTAACCCATGATGTGAAACGTATTTTAGTGTAAACAGTAAAAAAGAAAAGGAACGCTTTCATTAATATATGTGGAGCAAAACACACCCTGATAACATGTCTCACTGATATATAACCAAACTTCAGATGATGTATCAAAGCTATAGTCAGACATCGGGAGGGTAACTTTACTGTATCGTCCTGTCTTTTGGCACACTGTATATGTCTAGCTGTCAATGCCAAATTAGCTCAAGTATGACTTTGTAGGAAAAGCACGACAACAAGCAGGAAACCAAAAAAGGAAAAGAAGCGAGCAAGAAAGAAAGCAGGAATAGATGAAACGTGGTGTCGGACTGGGACAGAGACCAAATGAGCCCTGAGCTCATCCTCACAGAGACATGCTGAGCTTGTGCAGCAGAGAATAACTATTCTGTAGCACAGCAGCCAAATTCCTCTCCTCTTCCTCCTCTCCTGACCTTTTGGCTGACCCCTCTGACCCCAAGGCAACTGTCCCCATGCTGTGAAAACACTAGATAATGCAATACTTGCATGTGAGTTCCCTCACTGTCAAATCACTGAATATGATCATACTCAACTTCAAAGCTGAACATCTTGTTTCCGTTAGTTCTGAGACGCAGGCAGCCTCGTCTTTACTAGCATATGCTACAGCACCCTCCGCACAATATGCAGATTAAAGAAACATGCGTTGGATTTGGATTGAATCTGAATGACTTTCAAAAAGCACTAATGAAAGCAGTCTGTTTGTGATCCTGAACCAGCGCTCCTGCACTAATCACTGCTGACCGAACAGATGAATCCAGCTTTTCTTTACTTATGCATTCCGATCTACTTGCTACAACAATAAATATTCACCCTGTAAGAGAGGCTTCAACAAAAAACAAAACATCTGGTTCTTTTTGTTAACATTTTGCATGTCTGATTTCATTTTTCAGATGCTATCCTCCTCTAAAAAAAACAAACAAAAAATCGGCTGCTATTACTTTTGCATCTCCAGCCAGTCTACCCTGCTCTGAGTGCAAGTAAACATAACTTGTCTCCACAGAGACATGTACACTGAGCATACAGTGCAAATTTCTAACCCATCTGTGTAATCTCTTAGGATGGCGAGAGTCTCACTGCAAATTTAAAACGAACAGCTCAATGAACTCCCGGTTTACTGAGAGAGGCGAAACAGATCTCACAAAGCGTGTAATAGTGTGTTTTCAGCTTTGATAGCGCTCCAGCTCTACGGATGGCAGTCTGTCTGTTCATCGCTACATCCAGCCTGAAATATCACAACAGCTGTAGTACACACATTCAGGGTCCCCCTTTCAGAACGTGGGTGAATGTAACCAACAGCTCCTAATTTATTAATGAACAGCACCAGTTAGCTGTTGGATCTATGATGTTAAACAACCACCTGCCACTAACCAAAGCCGGTAGATGGTAGCACTCCAGGTGGAGAGTCATCTGTACAAACATGAGTGATTCCTCCCTGCTGTATGTAGTCTGTATCAAGTGTGCAACCGCATTCTGCACGAGTGAAAAAGTGAACCTGCAAGAAAAGAAGGCTGCTGGAGCTAGCACTGCGAGTCTGACAATGTGTGAATGCAATGAATTATGCAAAATTCCATTTAAGCAGCATTGCATGCAGTATTTGTACAGACATCTGTGAACCTTGTCCATTGACCTGCGTTTAATTTCGAGTCTTTCCTGCGTTTTTGATGAGTTATTAGTCTGATTTTTTCCCCCCTGGTTCTCCTGAAGAGGAAATAAGTCACCGGGATTGTCAGGAAAGGTTAAAAAACTCACATCACTATATGCTGAAGAAAAATACAATATAACATAATGAAAATGTTATATCAGAAACATTAAGACCACTGTTCAGCGCTTAACTGGAATTTCTGTACACAAATAAAAATTAATTTAACAAATACCGTGTCCAATTTATGAACTAACGTCAGCTTTAAGACTGTGGCTCTGTCAGCCCTGGCTGTGGGATTTTAAGCGACAACAAGTCAGAAGTCATTTTGCCATCACATAGCCACAGCCTAATTTAATTTCATACAGAAAATAATATCAAATGCATTAAGCTCACAGGTATTTGACCCGGTCATACTTCAGACTGAACTGTAATCCAGTTGTCGAGCTGACTTTTCAACTAGCTGATAATAATTTGGGAGAAAATGTCCAGCACTTTAGTTCATTGCAAGTAAATTAAATATCGAGTATGTGCTACACAATAATTGTTACCTCAGCACGAAAGCAAGGGAGTGTTTGCTTGCTTGTCATCTTGCTAAAATGACCTGAGTTTCTAAGTGTGAGATGTAATTCGAGTATGTCAGAAAACCTGAGATATTGAACATGTACACAAAGACGTACTAATAAGTTCATGCCTTTGTTAGGCTCAGGTTTCCCCTGCAAACATCAGAAGAAATCACCACAAACATGTGAGTCAACGCTGAAACCCCCACAGAATATGGTTTCTTTGCACATTAAATATTCAACAAGTATTTAATAAAGGCATGAACATTTTTATCAGTCTATTAAAAAAAACAGTCAGTTGTTGATTTTTCATGGAAGAATCTGTATACACATCCAAGACTGTTAAATAACCGCACTAATAAGAGGAAAGGCTGCATCGAGACTTGGTGCATGTAAAATGCCTTTCAGCCTCGTTCGTGCACTAACAAACATAAAGGGCCTGAAAATTCATGTAGAAGAAACAAATATATAAAAATGCTTTACAGGAACAAGAACACAGGAATTCTCACGCTTAGAAGGCGAGAATAACAAAATGAGCTGCGCAGACTCTCCAGTCTGGAATGATGCTCATTTTCAGCTGCAGAGACTAAACACGGGGCAAACAATGGCATAAAGAGTCAAAGCCGATCAATCACACTGAAATCCTCTGATGCAAACTCAAA